GTCCATGGGTTATGCAAAGATGCATCTAAATTCTTTGATTAACCTCTCCCCACCTACTCCCCCACCCCCACCTTCCCTCTGAGATTCATCAGTCTGTTCCAATGCATAATTTATGTTATGCATTTCTAGAGGGCAAGTACCATGTCTTCTTTGTATCTCCAGCCTAGCATACTGTCAGTGTTCAATGAGTGATTAATTTAACTTTAGGGTACTTCGTATTTTCCAACTGCTTTGCAATCAGAAGTTATTTATTTTAATAGTAATATCGCTCTAAAAGAATCAAAAGAGCTCAATAATGAACTTGCAAATGAAATACTAAAACAGAAACTCAGATGACAATGGAAAACCAATTTCTCATGCATAATAACTAATTTAAAAATAATTATTCCTAAATAGAGCCTACCTTTATCACATTTAAAAATCATTATATGCAATTATTAGTTTGACTTATATATGTTACTGAATATAATCAGTTAAATGTAGACTTAAATTTTTCAATGAGTTTTAAGACTATTATACTCTAACTCAATTTATAATTCAGTTACAACAATTATATTTTTCTTCTCAGATCAGAGTTAATATAAAAAAAGGTTTACTCAGCCATCATATTTATTAAGCCAATTACAAGTTCTTGATAACAAGGTTAATTGTTAACTTTTAAAAAGGAATTTCTTGAAATACTAAGTGTATTTACTTTTAGACTGAGTCAACAGGGAAAGAAAAGAGCAGATAAACTATATATGGCAATTAAAATTGCAATTCCAACTGACCAAGGGACAACAAACAAAGAATGGCTCATTCTAGAATAAAGACTTCCTGATGTGCCCTCTAGTTATTTTTAGCACTCCACCACAAAGCTAACAGCTGGTCTAGAGACTTGGAATTACCACCCATCTACAAGGAAAAAATAATTCCTCTGGGCAACTAAAAAATAAAATCTGATCACATCCTTAAACCTAATGTCCCCCCTCAATGCATGCAAAACATATGTTTGTAATGACTCATTTATTCTAAAATCAATTCCTGCCATGTTGTTCTTATTGCTAACTATTCTTTTCCTCACTTATAGGGAAACCTGGAGAAATAAAATTTGCAGTAGATATTTAAATAATTTTATGACAGAAGAGGCAAATGTATCATTAGCCAGAAAGAATAAAATTTGATAAACTTTGAAAACAACTTTAGCTTCACTCAAGAGTCTGATTAATAAAAACTAAATGTTTTCAATAACAACTTCTTTCGAGAAATATGTAAACCTGACCTAAAAAGTTTTAGTTACCCATTTTCTAATGATTTATGTAGTATGTTCAGATGCTTGTTTCATTTCTTAATCATCATTCTTAAAACATAATATGAAATAATTTAATATCCTCTGACTCTGGCCCTTTCTCAAAGGCAGAAATCTCTCTCAAACCTGATCTCAAATAAAGCATTTACATGAATAAGTAAAATCTCTTTTAAACCCTGTATTTAATATACATAATCATATCCAATGTACCTGATTTGAGAGTTTCCTATTTAAGGGAGAAATCTATGGTTAATAAATGTTTTAACAAACTTTACTAAGTACTTTCAAAGAGATTCAGACTCACAAACACTTGGCAATCTATCTGGATGAAGAAAATTTTAAAGTTATACACTGAAAAGGTATATTAATGATTTCAAATATTTTAATTTCAACTTTCCCCATAAAAAATGTTTTCTCTCAGTTCTGCTCCAAGTTATGAAACCCAGATAATTAACATATTTGTGATATACTCTAACTTTTAGCCCTTAGGGTTGAGCTACAGCTAAAAATTTAGCCTACATATTAATAATGCAAGAAATAAAAATGTTCCATAAAGCATTTTTATTTCAACTGGCAAAGAAAGAGAATAAAGGGACTTAAGTGACTTTAAGTAATAAATGGCAAAAAAACTGTATTTTAATAGTTTGTTTTGGCTGCATTAGTCATAGAGGGTTTAAAATCCAGAATCTCCAGCCTTGGGTCACTTTTAAAGTCTCAAATGGACACATCCCCATTGCCACCCACCAGCATCATTACAGATATACTGGTAACACGATGAAAGTAGGCAGGCAGAGGCCAGATGTCAGAAAATAATTTAAAATCCTTGTGAGCCAGGCTTAGATAACAAGGACAAGAACAGCAGCAACTCTCTTCCGAGATCATGCAGAAAGTAAACAGGTCCTTTTAATTTCTCTCCAGTCCACACCTACAGAGGTCCCTCATCCCATTTGTTCCCTGACAAACAGCCTCCCATATTTCAATATATACCCAAAGGTTCTTTCCTTGTTTTCCTTCCTCTCATCTATTTTCTTCCCTTCATTTTATTTCTAAACAATTTAGTTTTCTGTTGAATGACACCTTTTCTTTCCAAATTCTCAATCTTCTCTCTTCTCCTTCTGTTTTATTTTTCCCATCTGTTTACATATCTGGGTTTCTAATTCCATTGTGTGTGTGGGAGGGGATAATAAACATTCCAGTTAATCAAATAAATTTTACGTTGAAATGGAAAAAAAAGTTAAATAACTGAATATGGCCTCCTAATTTCCCTAATATATATCATCTGTACAATACATGCCTATTTCTTAGTAATGCTGCCTCTCATTCGTGAGAGCTGAAAGAGGTTCATTATTCGTAAATTAGCTTATTCGAATAAAAATGAGTTAATAGACAACTGAAAATATGGACTCAAACGGGGCTATCATCTAAATCAGCATTTCCCAATATTTATTTCTTAAAGCAATAGTACAAAAAGGTGCTCCACAAAATAATAATAATAATAATAATAATAATAATAATGGTATCATGGTCAAATCACAAAGCACACTAGGCTCTTAAAGAGTCTAAGAAATCCTAAAATGAATTAACTTGCTTAACATTATTATCCAGCTGTTCCCAAACATAAACTAGTGAACCATTTTTTCCACACCTACTAATATTCCACAGAATATGCATTAAGGAAATGTTAATCCTAACCACCGATTAAAATATACCACGCAAAGTGTTATACTTCATCTTATAGTCTGAATAGTTTTAAATGTTGCTGTGTTATGAAAAACCAAGAGTGAATTTACACAGAAAATACTTACAAAGTTGCTAGGTGAAAGTGATTCACGTTAAACATTACATGTATATTTACCTTACCTAGGTTCATTTAAGATTTAGGCTATAATCACCACTTGTGATTTTTTTTTTCTTCTTTTGGACAGAGGAAATGAACAAAATGTTTCTTAAAGTTAATTGTATCATATGGAATAGAATGTTTTACAAATATTAAGACTTAAGGCCACTCTTATTTTTCATTCATTCATTTTCATGTTTAAGTTTTCTGAGAGGGATGAAAAACTGGTTTTGACTGGTTAAAACTGGTTTATGACTTTAAAAACCTAATGAATACACAGACACATGATATACAGACTTTTCTGAAGGTGTTTTATACAATAACAAAAACATTTTTTAATGAAAATGTCAATTTTCCCTTTAAGGTGCACCATGAGTAATTTACTGTACAGGCTTTAAAGAGCATATTTTAAAGCACACACATTTTACCTGAAAGCTCCATAAAGTGGTCTGTACCAACAGACAAATGAACAAGGAGTGAAAAGCAAGAACCACAGGATACTCAGGCCAAAGTCAACCCCTCTTGTAGGATCAACGCAAAACCAAGCCAAGCATCCGAAGATATTTAGAAACAGTGTTACTGTGTGGACTGTGGAATCAAAAAACAAAATAGAAAAGAAATATTTACATTTGAGTTCATTCAACAAAAATTATAAATGAAAAATATACTTCCCAAGAGTGAATATATTTTACATGTTTTCATTTAGTATTTTTCAGAACATTGCTGTTTTTTTTTTAGGCATTTGATTTGAAAACAGAGTAATCACAGGAAAAGGAATCCTAATACATGCACTGTTTGGCAAAAATTCTTTTGGCCCCCTCCTAAAGGGCAATTACACAGCTAAACCAGAGAAGCACTACCTGAAGGGCCTATTCCCTGAGAAGGAAACATGTGATATGTCTCCTGATCCAAGGCCCAGGAAGAAAGCAGTGCCTGCCACAAAAAGAACCAGGACTAGGGAGGGAAAAGATCCTGCACTCAGAATTATATTTTTCCAGAGTGGGACTACAAACATCTCCCCCAGCAGATTATACACAGAAGAGAAGTGCTCTGTGCAATCTCATCATGACATTTTTAAACAACAAAATTAGAATAATTGGACTAAAAATGGCTAATACAGTAGAAATTTCCAGTGACTATATAGTCAATCTATAAGGATTATTAATTCACCCTCATTGAGTTGTCCATTTTTTGAAAGTACTGGGATTCAAACTGTGTTTTGGTAGAGGGTTAAATTTATTAAAGAAAGAAAAAGTACACTAGGATGCATTTCAGCTCCAGTGGCAGACCTTTCTTTAGTTAACACAAATAGATCTTGGAAAACCCTTCATATGTTGTTAATACTTTCCACGACAGGCCAAAAACAAAAAATGTGAGTAACATATAACTATACAGCATAAACCTAAAGATTTGCACATTATAATAACTTAAAGCACTTCCAAAAATTTATTCACTGGCTGAATTTATTATAGGAAACAAATTCTTTCAAAAGTTAAAATAATTTTAATGTAAATTATCACTACAATAAAAATTGAAAGATCTATAGGAAAAGATCGATTAATGATGCTATCCTTAATATATGAATTCCAAAAAAAGTGGATTTTGACAATAAAATATAAAATTTGTTTAACAAATACATAATTTATTCTGTACTCACACATCCACAAGTAGTACATAATCTTCACTGTCTTCTGGAATTCTACAGGAATGTCTACAGAAAAATCCTGATAGAAACAAGGTCCCACAGGAAAATTGCCAGGAAGAGGTGGCCAATTATTTTTTCTGCCTGCAAAATTTTTTTTAAAAAGTTACTTATATTAGGACAAATATGTGCTGTTCCTATTTTTGGTTTCAGAATAAAGAACGATATCTATTGTTATAATAGGTGTTTTACAAATACAACATTGTAATATCTACATTCTTGGAGAGCTTTGAAAGACAATCTTTATATCTTTTAAAATTTTCCCAGAATCACTTTAGAAAACATTAGATGGTAAAATAATTTTCCAGTGTCATATAATATTTAGCAGGAACCATTTATGTACAGTTGAAACAAACAAAAAATAAGAGCATAGGGACACATACCCGGTGACTCTGCCCTAAAAACAAATTTATTTCAGTCCCAAGAGTCTGGCTCTCACATGCAGGTCATGCAGTATTTAAATCTCTACAATTTCTTCCTCAGCATCTTACATCTTATTTAAATTCCTAACCCGTGTGGAGAGGGAAGACCCAGCTTTTGAATCTTGGGAGTTTTCTACCATTAACTCCATGAAAAAACACAAAATTAACCAACACCAAAGTATCAAATTCAGAAATCCCAAAGTCTCAAACAAATACCCACAACACACATAAGAAAATTACAAAACTATGAGAAGACATGAAACAGTCATGAGAAAGAAGCTAAGGAATTATAGCACCTTCAAAAACCTAGAGAAAAAACAAATTCAAATTGTGAGGGGAAAAATATGTGTCTATATAAAAAAATTAAATTGAAAATAGAGAATTGGTGGGGAAAATATAAAACTAAAATTAAAGCAAGAAGTCAAACATTAAAAATAGATAGTAAAAATAACATCTAAAGGCTGTCTTCTCATTTTAAATATTATAATCCCACAACTTTTTAAAATTAGATTTTACAAACATTTTATAGACCAGGAAAATATTAATGGCAGGAAAAAAGCATGACCTATTTCTGATTCTCCCCAACATATCTCCACTATTTATCATTCTTTTCAAATTTCATGCAGTTCACACATTTCTCATACAAGTCTCGTACTACTTGAGAAGCAGCAGAGCACAGCACGGCTCTAAGAATGAGGCTTGAGACCAGATGTGCCCAGCCGCCTACCATCTGGGAGGCCCTGGGCAACTTACTGAACCTCCTAAAGACTTAGTTTCTACATCTGAAAAATGAGAATAACAACTATACCACCCTTCACAGAATTGTTCTGAGGATTAAATGTATAACATACTACAAATCTAACTCTTAATTTCCCACTCTTCATTATAGCCCTTACTAAAATATCTCTCATGGAAATAACTTGTATTAGTCAATGCGAAGGAAATAGGATAGCTTTTAGTTACAGGTATTTCAGAAACACTGATCTCAATTACACCTTTAGTTTCTCCTTTTAGAGATACTGTCTCTGGTGTTGCAAATAAGAAAATGGCCCAGGATAAATGTATCCTTAGGAGCACCTGGATTTATAGATTCTAAGATGAGGAAGAAACAGACCATTTACTATTGCTGTCCTAGCCCTTCATCCCATCACTATCCCAGACATACCAGCAATGGCTTGTCTAGCTCTCTTACCCCTTCTCACACGCAGAGACTTCTAGCTTTCCCTAAAATAGTCTCTTGAAGTGGCCTTTGGTAGTCAGGTCTGAACAGATTTCATAGCTAAATAATCAATTCAGCATTTATTTATTTGACATCATCAAAATACCCTAAGCTTCCTAGAGTCACCACAGACTTATTTCTTTAACATGATTTGACAGACACGATATACTTGTAAGGACAGGGACAGATAATTTGAAGCTAGGCTAACTAAAGCAGAAGAGTCAACTGTAGGGCACACTCCCATGTACTCATAAAGTTTCATTAGATGCAAAGACAGCCCAAGTACATAATCAAAGGTTCCTGGAAATTAAAATAAACCAAAATTATCATATTCAAGTTCACTTTCTGTGTGATAAGGCTAACACTGTTCTAATCTATCAAAAGACTATACAAATCAGCCAAGATCAAAGAGCTACACAGTATTAAGTAGAAAATCTGTTGTGTCTGATCTCCTTGCTAGAATAGGAAAACAGGGCAGAGTTTTATTAACAAACTAAATGACCCAGAGCCAGTCCAGGCATAATTTAAAGTGTTTAAAAGTTATTTTTATTTCAAACATCTTGGATACTACACCATGTTGACTGAGGTTTTGCATTTCTCGTTCTCGACGATCTAATTCTGCAGCTTTTCTTTCTAGTTCTTCCTGGCGCTTAAGAAGTTCAGCTTGGGCCAAGGCATGTTCCTAAACAAAAAATAGTAAGTGAACAGGCTGTTGTAAGTATAAAATATTGTAACATTGATATGCTATCTCCTACTTCTCCCTCTACTATGCTAGAAACCTAATTCAAATGCTCTTCTGAAATATAGGAATTCACTGAAGATTACAGTTTCAGAAACTTTTATATAGATATTTGACCCACTTTGGTATTTCAGTTATGAAAACCTTCATGGGAATGTTGGGCACATTAGGGCAGAAAAAAATTCTAAGAGTAGTCAGCATCCTAAGGTAATTGGGAAAATGAAGTTAAGGTGACCTCTGTGCCTAAATGAGTAACAGAGACAAAGGGAAGAGTTGAGGAAAACAGACAAATGGAGAAAAGAGCAACTGAATTGGCTCTTATGAAGTGGGTTAAATGGTATGTAAGGTTCCCAATGCAAGAATTTATAACATCTTATATTTCATGAAATAATGAGGTGAAAGAAGGATATGGTTCAGAAATTCTGATTTATGACTCCACCTGCCTTTATGCATTCTAGACAGCTCCTTTTTTCGTGTATTCCTACCACTGTCCCTTGCTTAGCCATAACTCTCTTCCAGTAATATTTATTATTCTATCATTGTTACTATAATGGCATTGTGTGTTAAAAAGTGATACCAAAGGCACTACAATTTCACTATAAAAATTTTACACCAAGATAACAGATGAATTCATTAACTGCTAATCCTGGAACAAAGCAAATGTTATAAGCTGAGAAAGACCCACAAGTATTAGAGTCGACAAGGTGGCTAACCTAGACTAAAAATTAAGTTAAAAATTAAACAATAAGGAATGCAACAAATAACTATTTTGCTCTGGAAGTAAATGATACTAATATTGTAATTTCCAATATGAATTTGCACATGTAACATGAACTAACCTTTGCAATCTGTGTATAAGGTGGAGGTTCCTCTGTTGGTTTCATTATTGCTGGTTGTGTACTAGGTACATTCGGCATTTTCACATTGCCTGGTGGGGGCTAGGAAGATTAGGAAAAGGGCAAATTACATAACACAGAGATCCAACTTGAACTTCTTTCAAAAGACATACCACCAACAAAAAGCAAATGCCAAGAAATGCCTCTCTTCCTCCCCTCTTCTCATAGTCAGTGTGTAACAAAGACCTGCTTCAACTCTCCATCTCCACCTTCTCATCCATTTCTGTCCTCTTTAATCTGGTGCTACCTCTAACACTACACCACAAACATTCTCCTCTAAGATACCACATGTAAAAAAAAAAAAAAAAAAACACATAAAAATATTTCAGTATTTCTTTTTAGTAAAATACACAGAGCGCCAAACTAAAGGATTTACACCAAGGTTAACTATCAACTCTTCCTTTTTAAGAAAGCTGTGTCAGTGCCCGAGTAGGATGGCTCTTTACAGAACCCCACCAATATCCTTGAAAAAAGTTAAGAGGGAAGACCTTAGGTAGATGTAAAATAAACTTCACAACCTCCACTTTGCCAATGAGAATCAGCATTATTTGAAAGCTGCAACATCAGAAAGTAGGCAGATTATCTACAAACCATCAAAGGGGAACTGGTAAAATTTCTGTGTATACATATGATTCAGCCATTTAAAGGAATGTGTTGGAACTATAGAAGAAGCCTTTTTAAATACTAAATGAAATAAAGCAAACTACAGAACAGCATGCATATGACCAATTTTTACCTTTATAAACACACATCTGTATATGTTCAGAAAAATATTTGGAAGGTCTCAGCAAAATGATATCAGAGGGATTTGCACCTTTTGCTTTAAACAGTTCTCTATTATTTGCCTTCCCCTCCCCAATATACTACCTTAAGTTTGAAGTACTCTTTTATTTTTATTTTATTTTATATTTATTGGTTTGGGGGGGGAGGTAGAAGGGAGGAGAAGAGAAAGAGAGAGGCAGACACTGAGGTTGATTTGGTGTTCCACTTATTTAATGCATTCATTGGTTGCTTCTTGTATGTGCCCTGACTGGGGATCAAACTTCAACCTTGGCGTTACAGGGACAATGTTCTAACCAACTGAGTTACCCAGCACAGCCTTAAAGTACTTTTCTAAATGGCCATAAGAAAAAAAAGACAAGATGGAAGGAAGTAAAAGAGAAGAGGAGGGGAGAAACACATGAAGCAGCAGCTGCAAAGAGAAGTTTAAGTTCAAAGATCAAAACTATTAAAGCTGGAAGACACCACCAACATAGCAGGATTTCATCCTGACACAGTAAACAACAGCTCTGAAAAGGAAGCCAGGCACAAGCAAAGATAAACTGGAGCACAGCTGATTCTTACATACATATGGAAAAACCAAGGTCAAACAATTTTGAAGAAAAATAAAGAAGTCGGACGTATGATATCAAGACCTATTTTAAGGTTATAGTAATTAAGAGTGTAGTATAGATGCCAAAGATACAGAAATATACCAATAAACAGAAAGGACACAGAAACAAACCCACACAAGTGCAAAAATGTGATGGCCCACAGAGGAGACTCTACAAAACAGTGGAGAAATAACGTATTAGTCAATAAATGATGCTGGGATAACTAACTGGTTACCCATATGGAACAATTAAACCAGATTCCTACTTCATACCATATATAAAAATAAATTCCAGGTGAATTAATGACCAAAAAGTGAAAAATCAAAACTTAAACACTTTTAGGAAAAAATACAGGTGAATATTTTTATGAACTCAGGGTACATGAGAGCTTCTGGAATGTAAACTCTAGAAGTCGTCATTATTTTGTCTATGATGTAGCCCAAGTACCTAAAACAGTGCCTGGAACATAATAAATGCTAAGTATTTATTAAATTAAGATTAGAAAATGAACCACCCATAAAGTTATGATTGACAAATTCAACTGCATTGAAATTTAGTAACATAAAGTCAAATCAAATCAGAGTGGGGAAAATTTGTTATAATGAATGTAACAAAATATTGCTAACCAGAACACAAAGAATTGTTACAAGTCCATAAAAATACAAATACTAATATAAAAATGGGCAAAAGACCTGAACAGGTAATACAAATAAAACAGAAATGGCCAATAAAAATATGAACTCAACCTCACTAGTAATCAAGAAGTGCAAAACAGTGGCATATCTTTTCACAACCATAAGAGAGTAAAATTTAAAGCCTGAAATACCAAAATTGGAATTACAGTGCATACATAATGATGGTGTATATAAAAATTAAAGCATATTACCAAGGTAGCATTTCAAATCAGTGGTAACAAAAAAGATAAATGGTGCTGGGAAAATTATTTAAATGTTTGGAAGGGAAAACCAGATCCTTGTATCTAGGCAGATTTTGTCATTCTCCATCTTTTCCTCCAAATCCTCAACAAATTCCTTCTCAAGGTAGAATTCAGTGCCATTTATTTCAAGCACCTTGCAAACCCTTTGCCTGAATTCAGACTTCTCCTCCAGGGTCATGGTGTCAGCCTTAGCAATAAGGGGGATGATGTTCACAACTTTGCTGAGGTGTTTCATGAACTCCACATCGAGAAGTCACAGGGAGTGTCCTGTTGGGGAGATGAAGCAGAGGCAGCTGTGGACTCAAGTGTCAGGGACGTGTTTCTTCCTGGCAATGTTCACCTCCTCCTTCAAGAACTTTTCATACTGTTCATTGATGTACTTCTCAATGGGCTCCCAGCAGTTTTCATTGTTGATCTGGTCTCTAAAGCCAGGGGTGTTGATGACGGTCAGCTTCATTTTGACAGAGCCGTCTTCTATCACGTGCCCAACAGCCGTGATCTCTCCTGTCTTGGGATCTTCTCCTCCCAGTTCCAAATGGAGGCCTTGAGGCTCACTTGGGATTTGAAAAGCATGTTGACCAGCACTGACTTGCCCAGTCCACTCTGACAACCAAAATGCTGAAGTTGAACCCAGTCTTCATGGTCTTCTCATGTATCTATTCAATGATGGTGTAGATGCCAATGTAGCCCAGCAGGTTGGAGTTGATGTTTGATAGGTTTCATGGGCACTGCTGGCTCAGGCCTGGGCTCAGATATCAGCTCTGACATGGCTATGTCTGTCCTGATCTCTGGGACCCCTTTGGACATGAATCTCTATGATTTTTTAAGTGATTATTATAAGATTACCATCACATTTTAGTAAAGATTTGGTAAAATGGGTATTCTCACACACTGATAGTGGGAGGATATACTAGTTCATATAATAATCCTGGAGTATAATTTGGCATTATGTTTAGGCACCAGAGAAGTATTTATACCCTATGACCCATAGTTAGCTACTCTTAAGAAATATCTTAAGACATTAATCCAAGATATGCACAAATGTGTATATGTTAAGAATGCTCACTATAGCATTATTTATAAAAGCAAAAAGTTAAAAATAATGCAAGTGCCCAACAACAGGAAAATGTTTAGCTAAATTGTGATACATCCATAGGAGAACATATTATTTAGCTATTTAAAAGTTCTGAAAACTATTTAATAAAATGGGGAAAGTCTTTGTAAGTGATAAAAGCAACTTATAAAACAAAACTGTATATACACTGTACTCCCAATTTTTATTTAAAATATAATTAAAATATATCAAAATGTTAATAGTGATTATTTCTGGATAGTGGGGTTAAAAAGCTTTTTCTTGTATTTTATCTCCACTGTAATCTATTGTTACCCAAAGAATTATAACTGCTCTGTTCCATCCCAATATCTCATATTAATAGGCAGAAACACTGAAGCAAATCAGTTCTAACTGTTCTCCAACTAAAAAAGCAGAGTCCTAAAGTCTCACTCTTTGGGTTAATATGTAGCAATAACAAAACAATGATCAAATAAAATGCCTGACAAAGTTAGTTTGGCAGCATACTTGAGAAAAAACAAAGGAGAAAGTACACAAAAAATCACTGAGTTGAAAAATTACTATAAATTCTTCACTGTTTTGAGTAACAAAATATTAAGTACAATAAATTAGTAGGTAAGGCTGGGTTAGAACTACTAATTTGATAGATTTGAGGTCACAGTTGCTTGTGGTATAGCAATGATGAGAAATGTTGGAGAAGTACAAATCTCTACGAGTGAGCCCTGATATTAATGGGATAGCTGTTATCCTGGTAATTTCTTCAAATTTAGAGACATTAGCTAGATCTCTATTTAGCTCTGGGACACAGTATTCTCTTCAGCCACAGCATAGCCACCTCAAGCCAAGTACAGCTGTTGCCATAATTATTAAAGACCTATTCTGATGATAGCCCATAGTTCCTTTCCAATTGTTCACTTCTGCACATATGAGTAAAATGAAAACTAATAAAACAACCCACTCGAAACTTCCATTTCTGGCAATATAGCAGACCACACATTTGTAGAGAACCCCCCCACACACACTACATAATACCTAATCAAATTTTATTTAAGTATTTTAAATACATAACTAAGCTGACAGGAAATCTTAGGATGGCAGAAAGTAGAAAAAACTGCAAATCCAAACAAAGAAGAGCCCTGATGCCATGCCATTCACAAAATCACTGGGGTTTAATAAGCAGGAGAAAAGCCTGGGAGCCCGTGCAGGCTAAAACCAATCTGAGATCCCTCTATAAAGCCAGGTCTCTGCAAAAAGCAACATTCTCAGTGAATAAGAAAAAGAGCTACTTCACAGAAAGAAACAATAGGAATTCTTGCTTGCCTTGCCCGACTCTGGATAAAGAAAGGAAAATTGAAAAAAAGAAATCTTCTCGCACAATACCTAATCATAAACCTACCAAACTTGCAGACTTTTCACACTACTCATATAGACAAAATAATTGCATTTCAAGATATCCCAGGTTGGTAGTAACCTCAGGCACCTGGCAAAAGTAGAGGAACACACTTAAAACCAGGCTTTAAAAATCTCCACAGATAAAAAGCTCCAAGAAACTTTGGCTCATTCAGAAGGAAACCAGTCACCATGAGTACAGGCCCAAAGACATACAAACTACAAAATAAAATGGGTGATGTTGGAATTATTAGATACAAAATATAAAATA